CCGGCAGGGGGGTGCAAGGAGGTGCACTTGCACCCCCTGGCTTTTCTTTTAAAAAACAATTAAAGAGATACAGAAAAACAATTTTGTTATAAAAATTTTTATTAAAAATATTTTTATTCATAAACAGATAACTAAGTAATCATTGATACAGAAACATTTAAAGAATTGTTTAATCAAACAAGAATTACAATCATGTTGTTTGCTGTCCAAATCTGTATATAACGTTTTCAATGAATTCTGAGTTATCTTTGATTCTTTTCTTATGCACACTGAACATGCACAAACTACTTAATCTCTCGTGAAACATTGTAGATCGATTCTATGTTTTGATGCTTCGCATTGTACTAAAAGTGCGTTCAATATTGCACGTAGTACCTGGAAGAGTTAGGCCAATTTTGATTGCCTCCTCTACAGCTGGATAAAACGGTGCGGCCTCAATAACTAAATCGATGTATTCGAGGGATTCGTTAGAATTTTCTCTATTCCTACACATTTCGTACCACGTAGTAGCTTCAGTGATGAAATTCGATAAGAGCAGTTATATACATGGTACATATAAAACTAATCTTCTAAAACTTCAAGATATGACGCTTTGTCCAGCTTGTTCATCGTATTCGGGTAAAGCTGTAAGAGTGAAAATGCTTTTCTTTGGGTAGAAGAAAAACGGTCATTCAAAGAAGATATAATGGAGTCCATATAAGGAATAAAGATTGACCTCCTGAAAAATTTTTCTGCGTTTTCAAAAGGCACATTCGATCTATGAACTTGTCTAGATGCCACTCGAGGTCGATTCAATTCAATACCTAATTCTTCGCAAATGCGTTCTGCTTTCATGAAAATTGCAATAAACTCTTCAGAAGCATTGTTTTGATCAATTTGCTGCACATCTATCAATTTGACTACGTAATCAGTTACTTCTTTTAGATCTGTGTTTACTTTTTGCCACTGATTGCACACAGGTTCAAGTTTGGCAGAATAAGTCGCAATAACAAAAAGCCGTACAATGTATGTTGGCGTTGTAGCAGCTGATAAAAGTATATTAACTTTCACTTTGGTGTTTTTGTTTGCCGCTTTTTCTATGAGGCTCTTAAAAGCTTTTATAATTGTAACAAACTTTTCAAAAAATCGTCTGGTACTCTTGTACTTTTCAGACCAGCGTGTTTCACAGAGTAAAGGGATGTTAGGAATTTCTTTTCGTCGCGCAAGGTACTTTCTCTGAAAAGCTAATAATTTCCTTTGTTGTCCCTATACTATTCTGTACTCCCTTAACGCGGTTTAAGTCGTTGATCACGAGATTCAATACATGATTGGCACAATGGAAAAAACACAGCTCTAAGATATTTGTCTCGAATCAATTTTTGAACGCCCCCTTCTTGGCCAGCCACAAACACGTTAGTATACGAAACTACTGTTTATTTTATATTATAACCGTCGTTGAACAGCCGACCCAATTTCATGGGTTTACGACTACTTACGTTCAACTCCGTAGCCTTGTAATTTTGAACCAATCCAGAAGACAAGGAAACTCCTGGATCAGTACCCCCAGAGTCGTTGATTTGTTGTGGGAACATGGAGGACTTTGAGACTCGACAGATTTAACGTGCATCAGTCACCATTTACTACACGGGGAGTCTTTGGCCGGCGAGGATCGAACCCACGACCTCTTGGATATGGGCCCAGCGCCCTACCGACCAGGCTATCCCGGCCTCGAAACTACTGTTTGTAGTTATTGGTGTTTCAAAGTCAGTAGCTACGCCAACGCCATCAGTACAGTTACTCGTAGCAAAATTTGCAAGTACAAGAAATGCGTACTTTTTAAAAAAAAATATCTTGTTAATAATGAAGAAATGAATCTTGAAAAAAATTAAAAGATGAAAATATATGTAATAACAAAACAAAATGTAATGACAGAATATTTTCAATTTTTTTTCTTTTTTGGGGGAGGGGATTAGTTTGTTAGAGGATTGCACCCCCTTTTATATTATTCTGCCGGCAGCCTTGCCCAGTTGGTCGCCAAATCTTTAAATTACAACTGGGTAATGCAGCGAGATGGCGTTAACGATTAATAAAATTAAAAATATCTTTGAGGTGAACACCTCAAAGTTTTTTCTTTCTTTTCGGCATTAATTGTGTGTGTACCCTCTACTAAATAAAATGGAGTTGAAAACAAAGCAAGGAAGAAAAATATAATCAGTATGAAATGCATTTTATATCAAAATAAATCAAGAAAATAACGTAAATATGGAAATACATGATATGCCGTGTAATATGCTTAGAGCAGTGATTCTGATATTTTTTTTTTGTCGCGACACACTTTTAACCATTTAAAATTTGACGGCACAAAAAATAAGTTTAAAAGTTTACTTACCTGTGTAATGCTCTGAGTAAAATAGTTTATGATAACAATTTTGAATGTGAAATAAAATAATATGTACTACAAATACAACTGTACTTTTATTAAAGGATAAATTACAAGTTAATTGTTATTATTTAAATTTTTTTTGTTATTTATTAATTGTTAGCTTGTTTTTTACAGTTATTAATAGTTAGTTTTGCTTATATATAACTGCTATTTTTTGTGATTCCTTGTTAACTTGTTTCTTTGCCAATTATTAATTGTTAGCTTGTTTTTTTTTCTTGTTAGTTATCGTTTATTAATTTGTTTTTATAACTATTAATTGCATCTTATTTCAATTGTTAGCTTTTACTTCCTTTTTAAGGTTAAAAATTTAGTTTGCTTTCTTTAGTTAATTAATAATTATAATAGCCATCAACTTTCCGACTTATTTTAACATTTTAAGATTGTCAGAGACAGGACTTTCACCGTCAAAGATGTTCACGCCGTTAAAGCGCGGAAAAATTATAAAAAGTATATATATATATATATATATAAGAAGCATTATAATTTTTACCACACCAAAGTGCAGCAGCATAGCTGTTAACATTCACTGGTTTAGAGATGCGGAAAATGTATGAAAATTATGGAAAATTATTAATAAATTAAACCGATTAGAATCAGCGAACTGAGACCTCAAAATACACTAGTGTAGGAATTAAGAGAATGTGCATACTCGGTCGATTAACTCTAGAACTACTGAACCGATTTTGATGAAATCTGATATGATCTGTGGNATATATATATATACAATACAAAACAAATAAACATTCAACAATTTTGTAATACACACCCATGATCGTGCGCAGCACTCGTTGGAATCGGAAGGTATGTAACAGCAGTTGCAGAATAAACTAAAAAAAAAAAATGAGTTAAAAAGGGGTAGGGAGTCCCCTCTTACAGATATACAGGCCTTGCAGCGTGATTTCATACTTGGAGATAAGACAGTTCATCATTTCCTGTGGCCTGAATTGTAAAGTGGCAATTTCATACCTTCCGACTCCGACAAGTGTTACGCACGATCATGCGCGTGTATTACAAAATTGTTGATTGGTTATTTTTTTTGTATTGTAACAATGTATGTACATAATTTCATTAAAATCCGTCCTGTAGCTCTAGAGATAATAAGTCTGCAAATTCTCTTTTACACTAGTGTAATTTTAATCTCCAAACATTCATTTAGACAAATATTTCGTAGAGAATGTTACAAATAAAAAAATTCTTGTTCAGATTCGGGAGAAAGAAAGTTTTGTTCGCTGCTGTGTTCCTCATGTCTGTGACAGAACTGTTGTCCATTTTGAGCACAAATTTCTATCTCTTCGCTCTCATCAGAACAATCAATGGTCTCGCCTTGACATCGGTTTTTGTCCTTCCATTCATTCTCAGTAAGTATTACATTTTCTTCTTTTCAGTATCAGTCGCTGCAAATGAGTATCAATTACAAAAACCCGATACTTTTTCTCAATTCCTGCTCATTAGTTCTTCACACTCTCCCTATTATTATCTTGTTCACATTTTCAATCGTTAAATAAAATACTTTTTAATTCAACTTCAAAATACATTCTTTTTTTAAAAACTTGCAGTGGATGATGCTCGATGTTAAATACAGTTTTTTTTCAAATTATTAATTCATTCGTTAAATAGGGATGAGAGAGAAATGAAGCGGAATTTTCTAATGGGTTAAACGTTAGTCACTGTTTGAAATTTTTCTTTAAGCGATTCAGTTTTTCACATATTTCGAAAATAACATCAGTGATAATTTCTAAAGTATTTGAACAAAAAAATAGTTTATTGCGCACATTTAAATATTTATTTTATTTTTATATTCGATGTAACAGATAAAGGTTTGAAAATAATTTTAGCATTAAAATAAAACGGCAAAAAGTGAAAGAAGTGACTCACAAAACTCAACTTTAACAAGCCCTTTTACTGATTTATAAGATTATGAGGTATTATTTTTATAGATTAGCTGGCATGTATGTCATAGGTCAAGTGTCTGGCTATGAGGGGTCTTCCTTCTTCTTGAAATACGCAGCAAAGTGCGCAACTCAATCGCGCAACAAAATTACCAGATATACAAAACAAAAATAATGATGGGTACTGTAAAATTCATACACAAGCTATAAATACAGATTAAATAAAAGACGCAGTCAAGAAAGAGTTATATTTTCACAAATTTGTTTTGCGATTCGATATTGCGTTGTTAAATTCATTTGTTAAATTCACTAACTTAGTTTTTTGCAGCGAGAAAAGAAATATCTTTTCTTGCAACAAAAGAGAGAAATATAAAACTTTTGTTTCTTTTCTGGAAACAAAAAGCTGAAACAAAAGGAGCTTTAATTTGGGCGGAAATAAAAGATTTAAAGCAAAAAGTTCACCTAAACAAACTAACTGTTTTATATTTCGCTTTTAATTATGCTTATTAATTAACGCCATTAGAGCCATACTTTAGTTGCAACGAAGCCTACGCCTTTATGCGTTACATATGGGTTTTATCAACGGATGTGCGTTTTATCAGCGGAGATCACCTAGAAATGAAGTTGGACTGTTCATAATTTAACCTAAATTTATTTTTTTTCTCAAATATACTTCCTCCCTTTCCCACATACTGAGATTTTTTCTTCTTCATTATCCACTCTTTAGTTATTATAATTTATAGGAGTTTATGTGAGAATATAAAGGATTTAAAACTGTTTTGTCTCCAAATTGCATATGTTACTGTGAATAACAGAAATAGGTGACTGCCACCGGTGAATGTTAACAATTAATAACATATTCACTTTGGTAAATGCTCAAAATATATATTAGGTCTAGTTAAGTGCCATTGACATTTGCCCGGTATACCCTACACTGATTTCTATTTACGGTTCAGTGCTACTGCCCGGTATACGCTACAATGAAGATTTTTTTTAGGGTTAAGCGTCATTGCCTGGCAGGGGTGAAAGCGAGACGGAAAAGAGGAAAGGCTGGTAGTAAAACCATTTCAGTTATAGCTAGTTTTGGGGAGGAGTTTACTTATTCTTTTTTTAAATTTTTCAGCAATATCTACTTTGTCTTGGAAAAGAAGCAGTTTTATATATATGCCAGAATTATAAAAGAAATCCTTATAGTTACAGATATTTCATTTTTTTCGAAAAAAATGCTGGAAAGAAATGTTTCACGTACCAGGTTTTTCTCTTTTCCGTCTTGCTATATAAGGGCTTTCACCCATGCTGCCTGGTATACCCTACACTGATTTCATGTTAACGTTCAGAACTATTGCCCGGTATATCCTACAATGAAGTTTTTTTAGGTTTCAGTGTCACTGCCTGGTATACCCTACACTGATTTCATTTCAACGTCCAGAGCTATTGCCCGGTATACATTTGCCCGGAATACCGTACAATGAAGTTTTTTTAGGGTTCAGTGTCATTGCCTGGTATACCCTACATTGAAGTTTTTTTAAGGTTCAGTGTCATTGCCTAGCATACCCTACAATAAAGTTTTTTTAAGGTTCAGTGTCATTGCCTGGTATACCCTACAATGAAGTTTTTTTAGTGTTCAGTGTCACTGCCCGATATACCCTACATTGAAGTTTTTTCAAGGTTCAGTGTCGCTGCCGATATGCATTTTCCCGGTATATCCTACACTGATGTTTCTCCTCATCTATCCTCAGTAGATATTAAAATATCGAATAAATATTATAATATGACATCGCATCTAACAAATATTTCGGACATTCACCAAGGCGACTTAGTGATTGCTAACATTCACCGGTGTAAGTCGACATTCTCCTGATGTCGGTCATTCACCGCAACATATATATATGTAGGGCATTTCCATGATTTATTTGTTTTAAGTGTTATTCACGAGTAGCGCTAAAATGTTTATCATTCTAATATTGTCAAAATAATGAAAAGCTATAATCTTGTCAGCAGCTTACTCGATTACATCTGCAAAAAGGAGTGCTTTCTAATATTTTAATAATGTAGTAATATATAAATCATTCATAGAGGATGCATATCTATAAAACTTGATTTTAAGAATAGTACCAGCATATGCGCTAGACTAAAATGCATGACTATACAGTTAGTAATGACTTCGAATTACTAAGATTTGGCGAATGCAACAAGCAGGGGTTGGTACTATTGTGTAACGATTATTAAACATCAATTCACTGGTATATAAGACTCTATTCAATCTTGAGGTACCTTTTCATGGATGAAGGTTCATATCCCCACACTGGTGACCTGTGGACGTGATCCGAACACGCCTACCTAACGCGCAAAACAAGGTGACCTTAAGGCAGCTCTCTCGGTCTATCACAAATACTGCAACTAGTGGTATCTGTTCATTGAATTCTATCCCTGATAAAATTTTGGTGGGGAAGTGTTGTGGTGTAACTACCTCTACGATTATGAAACATCAATTCTCTAGAAGACACGCCACTTCGATTAAATCTTGGGGTACTTTTTGACTGAACAAGGTAGGCATTGTCGAAAAATCTTATCCCCGCAGGACCCACAGTATATTATTTACTTTGTCATTATTGTTTAATTATAGCTTCGTCATTTGAATAACTTATTTACAGTTTTAGAGCTGGTAGCCCCAGAAAAGCGCGTCAAAGTGAACGGCATCGCTAATTGTTCCTGGATGTTCGGAATGTGTGCCCTACCGTTACTCGTCTACTTTGCTCGGAGTTGGATAACCCTTGGAATATTCAACACAGCTGTTGCAGCTTCCATTTTACTCTACTGGTGGTGAGTTTATTTGAATTTCATTTTTTTACTCAAAAAATAGACTTTTTTTAAGTAGCATTTATTTTATAAAATACCGGTCTCAGCAAACAACTGAATATAGAAATAAGCGGAGGAATTGTTTTAAAAGTTCAGTGGTTCAGGCCCAACAGGAGCATGGGGTAAAATGTTATATATATATAT